AGGGAGCCGTAGCGCTCCTCGGGAGTGGCGAGGCTGCCGTCGGTGCACCTCACGCATGCACAGTGTCGTCCAGGAGTCACGCTCGCGCCCCGCTGCTAGATGGCCCCATGAAGCCATTATTGACGGTGCACAGTGGGGAAGACACACGGGGGGCTGCCACGTACAGATCCTTTAGCTCCGTCACCTGCTTCTCCAGCTGCTTCACGTGCTGCCCAACGACTCTGTGGTAACTCTTCACGAAGGTGAAGCTGGAGCTGAGAGCGATGCAAGCGTGGTCGCGTTATGGGCCGAGGTGTACCTGTTTGCATCGAGAGTCAATGCGCAGTGTCCGCTGTTTTCTCTGCTCAGAGTGTGGCGTGTGCAGCACAAGTGCTGCTTCCTGAGAGCCGGTGGTTGTTGAGATAAGCTTATCTGGCAATACGGGAGTCTCCATATCCCATAGTGAGACATTGAAACAAATTCTATAAATGAGAACTTTAGGTTACTTGTGTAACCCCGGTTCTCAGAGTAGTATGAGTGAGATGTCTCACCAGACTGCATTTCTTGCTGGGGCGGAGCGAGAAGAGGTGCTTATTTTGAATGGTGTCTGCGTTGTAGCGTAAGCTATTTAAGCGTAGGTGGACCCACCAGATGCAGACACCGCAATCACCTGCCAATGAAGATTGGCATAATGAGATAAATGCTTCTGAGGAATGCGCGGGGAGAGGCATGCCGAGTAGAGTGCAAATCACCACCAGGTGTGACTGGGGACAGCTGTGACAGGTGTGGGAACAAGGAGTGCAGCAGGGCAGGCTGTGTGTTCAGTCAGCTAAATGAGTTAATGTAAAGTCATGTATAAAAATACATGTAGTATCTAACCGGTCGAGGCAGATGGCCGCCCACCCTAATTCTGCTTGAGGTTTCCGCCTCTTAAAAAGAAGTTTTTCCTTGCTTCTGTCGCCAAGTGCTTGCTCATGGTGGGAATTGTTGGGTCTCGGTAAATAATAGCACACAGAGTACAGTCTAGACCTGCTCTATATGAAAAGCTCTATGAGATAACTGTTGTTTTGAATTGGAGCTATTAAATAACATTTAATTGAAAATGAATTGCATAGATTAGCTGCAGACAGATAACAACACATGATTGCCACAAGGTGTGATAAATCAGAGCGAAAGAACAGCAGGGAAACTCAAACTCAAATTAAATTATTAAAATCAGAAGAAATAACATGTGGCTGGCATTTTAACAGTTAAAGCAATGACTCCTCTGTAAGGCAGGATTTAGACTGACCAAACTGAACCCCGGTGTATTTACACCCGGAATAAGATTCCTATCTTTAGGTGCTTTTGTTGCCAAAACAGAGAAAGATAAATGAGAATGTACAGACAAAGAGACAATAAGAATGTTTGGGAAGATTATGAGAAAAGGTTGCGTTCATAGCTTGCAGCTATGAATGTCTTTAAACACTTAACAAGGTTGGCATTTAGATGTAAGCTGAAGGACACAGGTTTAAACTTTTCTACACAATCTGACAACCAATGAAAATATAAGGAACTGAATATCAAATCCAAATATACCCATATAAGTTTCAAATGTCCAGCAGGAATGTCATTTGTAAACTTATTTTCCGGGAGCCAGTGATAAATAAAATAGTTAATGAAAACATTAAAGCGACTATAATCAATATTTTAGTATAACATATCAGATATGAAACATCACAGATATGAAAACAATGTGACATGGTTAAAGGTGTCAACTATAACCAGAATCTGCAGCGCTCTCGACTTTCAGCTCACTGTACAGCCACAACTTAACTGTTTTGGTTCACTCTCACCACTCTCATAGAGTCATTTTTGGCCGCAGCAGGCAGCTGGTGTCGGAGGAAAAGTTGTAAAAACCCAGTATACGCTACTTGCTCAGCAGTAAACAGCAGACAGACACAGTTAGAGGCTGTGTTGCTACAAACATCATATGCTAAAGATAACCTATGCTTGTCATTAGCATGTTATAGAAACATGATACCGAGGACAGCTCTGTCTTCCACTATGGCTGCCAGAGGGAAGGTGATAGGCGGCCTTAAAGGAGGGCAGCAACCTCCTTGGTTAAATAAGGTTTTTAAAAAAACATCTAACAGAGACTGTACCTGAGAGCGGTGTGAGGGGCATTTCTGGCAGTGTATACGACTCCTCAAGCTCCTCCCACGCCACATCCTCCAGCACTTTTTCATCCTTCTCCACTGAGCCTTCAGAGACAGGGAAGAGTGGCTCCTGTCCGCAGGTTTTATCCTTCTTATTGTTGAAAATCTGACTCAGACGATTGGATGATCCTCTTTTAAAAGAGTCACCGGACCTGCCCATATTGGGATCTGAGGATGGACAACACAAAGTTTTGTTAAAGCAGCCCAGCTACAGAGGTGCTGTATAGAAATCTGTTTCAAGTGTCCATGTACTTTATTTTGGTATCTCACACTTTTGACCATGTTGTGTATGTAATGGTGAGAGAAAACCTTTTTTATAAGCTACTTGGATCCAAAACATCGAGAAAGCATATAAATAAAAGCCATTAAAACTTAACTGTGAGCAGTTTTTGATAATAAAAATTAGCCCCGTATTAAATGACAGCTTTACGTGTCTTTGAACGTGTCAGACCTTTTCTTTTCTGCGGAGCGATGTTGGCGTCGTCTTCCTCTTTTTTCTGGAAAAAGCCTTTGATGTTCTTCAGAGGAGAGGTCACAGGAGAGCCAGTACTCAGGCCTGCCAGAGAGGCAAAGAGAGATGGCTGATAAAAGCAGAACGTTTCCCAGTAGACTGTCTCCTTAGAAAACTTCTTATTTAATAACCTCTTCATATGTTTTGTTTGCAAAAAGCTGAATTTAAACTAAAACAAACTAAAATATACATGTTACGCAGCTTCAAACATGACATGCTAAAGATAAACTATGCTAAACATTAGCATGTTACAGAAACATGATACTGTGGACAGCTCTGTCTTCCAATATGGCTGCCAGAGGGAAGGTGATGGGTGGCCTTAAAGCAGGACAGCAGCAAACCCTCATTGGTTAAATAAGGTTTTTAAAAAAAATAGAGACCTGACTCCTCAAGTCCCTCCCACACCGCATCCTCCTGCACTTTTTCATCCTTCTTCTCCTCCACTGAGTCTTCAGAGACAGGGAAGAGTGGCTCCTGTCTGCAGGTTTTCTCCTTGTCCTTCTTACTGCCAAATCTCAGGCTTCGACGAATGGATGATCGTCTTTTGAGAGACTCACTGATCCAGCTCATATTGGGATCTGAGGATGGAAAACACAAAGTTTATGTTAATGCAGCAATAAATAATATGTGGGAAGTTGTTTTGTACTGACCCAGATATTATTTCGGGTCTGGTTTGGCTTAAAATCACTCAATAAATGGATTGTGGTTTGTTTTTTACTGTATGTGCTGCTGGCCACCTACGGAGGTGCTGTACATAAAACTGTTTAAAAATTGGTTATATTTAAGATGACAGATTCCCATTGCTTTTATTCATTTTTCTAAATGATTAACTTAACTTTGTCTAATTATCTTTAGGTCAGCCTGTATGACTATTCACACGTGGACTAATAAGGTTGTTTTTCATGTATTTATCCACTTCGCTGCTGTTATTTTAGCCTTGGTAATGTTCAAGTGTCCAAGTACTTTTTTGGGTATCTCTATCTCTATCTGAATTTTTTACAAGCTACCTGGTACCAAAAAAATCAAGAAAGCAAAAAAAAAAAGACAGTTGAGCTTCAATGTTAGCAGCCAGGACACTTGTTAATATTTGGCCCAGTATTAAATGACAGCTTTACCTGTCTTTGAACGAGTCAGACCTTTCCTTTTTTGTGGACTGATGTTGGCATTGTCTTCCTCTTTTTTCTGGGATAAGTCCCCGATGTTCTTCAGAGGAGAGGTCACAGGAGAGCCAGCACTCAGGCCTGCCAGAGAGGCAAAGAGAGAGAGAGAGATGGCTGATAAAAGCAGAAAGCTTCCCGGTAAAATGGCTCCATAGTTTCACAATCACACCTCTCTTTGTGTTGAGGAATTCAGTCCTGACATTGATCCGGTTCTGTTTACTTAAAGTTCATAATTACATTTACGGGAAGTGCATGTGTGCATGACTCTGCAGTATTTTGTCCTCACAGTGACCTACAACTAAACCAACAGAGAAATGCAAAGATAAAGTTATGATGAAAGCAGACTTTGGCTCAGATCCAGAATTTAAAGTCAAAGTCACAGAGCTTTAAAGAAGTCCTCATTTCAGCTGACGGAGATAAACAATCCACAGGACTTACTCTAAATGAAATGACCTCATGTGCGCGACTAAAATGGACATCTGTGACATTTCTAAATGCTGCAGAAACTTAAAAATGTTGGTACTTGCAAATCCATACTGCATGTGTTGCTGCCTTATAAGGAAAATCCACCCTAAAACATTGTCAAACAGTAGTGTGGCTACTGTTCATCCTTTGAATAAAATTGCCAAATGCAAGCTAGGCAATTACGAGGGCATTAATTACAGGTGTTTGGTTTATTTTGCTCTTATTTAAGTTGTACATTAGACAGCATATTCAGGACATTCTTATATATTCCTGTTCAGATAATGTCAGGAGTGTTGTATGATGTACAGTATGTGTAACATTATTTGAACAGTAGGCTATAGTACTCATTGTTTTAATGTCTTTGTATATTGACGGAAACACATTTATCTCCTGAATACAATCACGTTTGATTATCCTTTTATGTAGACTCTTATTCTCATTTCCTGTATAAAGTCAATGCCTTTGCTGGTACTTCAGAAGGGCACGTAGTGTTCTCGCCGACACTCCAGGTGGAGAGAGCTGATAAATACGACTGGTGCCTCACAGTCCTGAAACCCAGCTGTTATCTCACTTACAGATATTGTTTTCCCCAAGGGGCATGACTCAACTATTTAAGACGTAAAGTCGTCACTAAGGCAAGTCATGGTAATCAGGTGCGTTAGCTTTCTGGCTGGCATGAGCCTCTTGGCATCGTAGCACACTGTAGTAGGCTTGATCAATATCAAAATAAAATTTCAATAAATTAGGTCTCTACTGGATTACTGTGGTGCAAAATGACATGCAGTTAATGAAAATTGATGCTGCGGGACAGGCTGTTTTGCCATCAGTGAGTATTATTCTGTGCAATTTTTATGATTTGCACCGACTCTGTGGCATGTGTAACTATTTAGTTGTTATGCAGAATTGTGTCACTTATCTCCGTGGTGCAACTGCTTTTATTTTAGTAATGCATAAATCACACTTTGTAATAATTTATAACTACGGTATGTTTTAACTTACATACAGCTGGTGCAATACAGCTAAAACAAGGCAATGTAGAACAAACTGAAGCTTTTCTCAAATGTATTAAGAGGTTAAGATAAACCTGAGGGGGGGGCACAAGATGAAAAAAAACTGTTAAACAGGATTATATGTTGCTTTCTTGCCAAATACTGGATTATTTTGCAGGCTTTTAAAAAAACAAATAAAAGGAGAGTAAGGGGAGAGTCTTCACTTCACAGTTTTTTAAAACATATTGAATATACCGTAAAACCTCAGTTAAAGGGGGCCATTGCTTCATTTTAAAGGGTCACGAGCTCATAAGGCTGGGAATTATGAGAAACTCAACAACAACTTCAGAACAACAGCCACCATTTTCTCCAGGGAGAATGAAGCGTAGGAAGAGTTCATGTTTATATCTGAGCGAGCAAAGGAGAAATCTGTCAATCATCTAGTGTTCAGCTTCCAGACTCTAACTTATTCATTTACAGCCACGTCAGACCAGAAGGCATGGACGGTCTCACCACAGATGTTTTAGTCTTTAAAGTCATAAAGTTGCAAATACTAAATAACAACGACAGTGGTGGATTGTAACTAAGTAAATTTACTCAAGTACTTGTACAAATTTGTGGTACTTTACTTGAGTCTTTTCTGTTCATGCCACTTTCTACTCCTACTTCACTACATTTATCTGACAGCTTTAGTTATTTTAAATTCAACTTTTTGCAAACAAAACATGTGAAGAGCTCATAAAATATGAAGTTATATTACAAATCATGCTACCCAGTTTATATAAATACAGTGTAAACGTAATTAGATTAATTAGTCAACTGACAGAGAATTATTTGGCATTGTGAATGTGTCACTTTGGGCTCTTGGTAAATGTGACCGCATGTCTCACTATTTTCAGAATTTTTACAAAAAACAAACAAAACAATCAATCGATTTAATAGAGAAAATAATCAGCAGATAAATCCATAATAAAAATAATCTGATAGTAAACAGTTGAAAATGACCCCCACCTCAACAACTACAGCAGTTAAATTCTGCTTTTATATTAATGCATGAAGAATAATAATCTAATAATAGAATATATAATATAATATTTTTTGTGGTGTCAGTGCTTTTACTTAAGTACTGGAGAACACCCTGTGCGATGTAGGCCTAGACTATGATTATAGTCAGGGAGCCGCTGAAATTCTGTGATAACACAAATCCTCATTTGCTCCCAAAACAAAAATGGACATCAACCAGAAAGTGTTTATGTTGCAAATTTATACTAAAATCCATATAAAAAAGGGAAAGATGGTGGATGGAGAGGTGAGGGCAAACTCTACAGAGAGAGCTGGAGTGAGGTGACTGTGCCTCTGCTAACATAGGAAGAAATTATTTGTTTTATGGAACATAATGTTTAGGCTTATTAAGCTTCAGGAGAAACAAGCAGTGGTTCTACACACAGCAAAGGTCACACATTTAATGAGTTAGGTGATTGTTTAAATGTGTTCTCTGGAGGACAAAAAACTCCAATCCTCCATACATTTTGTATAATTTAATCTATCCACTGGAGCAGATCAGAGTCCCTAAGAACTAGAAGGGACGGGTTTTGTTTCCAGTAAAGCTTACTGACGCTTGGCCTTTTTCCAACTAGAAAAACTGGTTTTCCTGCCCTATCAGAACTATATTCCCACACTACTCCTCTCCACCTACACATACAGGATCGCCCACACCTGAGTGGATCGAGTTCTCAAAAAATTTCCACTGGGTTTTAAAGGGAATTCTGGGAAATGCAGGCAGTCACTAATTAAAGGGGAATTTAAAGAGAGAGATTTCTCATCTTATATTATCTGATATTTCCATAAAGCGCTTATCTAACACCAAATCTCACAGTGTTTCCTCTTCTTCTGACCTTGAGAGGCCTTACATGCCCATTTCACAGCATATTTCAGGAGTCATGACGGTACTCACTGGGTGACGGAGGCGCTTCTGACCACAACTCATTGCCAGTCGTGTCTGCTTTAGTTGTGACCTTTGACCCCTTGCCTCCGGACGATAGTGGGCTTTTCTCAGTTGCTTGCCGGAAGCTCTTTCTCAATGTCTTAAGCATGCCCTTGGTCTCCTTCACGGCACTGTTGGTCGATGTCTTCCCATTGCTCCTCAGGGACGCTCTGTCCTCGTCTGAGTTTTCCGTAGATTTGTCCATCATTTGTGGAATCTCATCCCATTAACTAACATCTAAAAGTGAGAGAACAACATAAAATAAAAAAGCCAACGCAGCAAGCGCCTGCCTGTAGTCTGATGTACTTAGGAGAGTGTGCAACAGCAAGGTTGGTTTATGGTTATAGTAGTTGCAGTCAGCAGGGACAGGAGGAGCAGTTGTGTTTACAGATAACATCTCTGAGTGACATGCAGTTCTTGTGAACAAGGTGAGGAATTAAATATGTTGGAAATGTGTTGCACATGCTAAATGCCATATACTCAAAGACTCAAGAGCATACTTTCCACTGGGAATTACCCCCTCACTTTCATAGTTTCAGGTTGATTTTCTTAACAATGTCCATTCTTATTGAATAGTTAATAAAAAATTTGATTTATACTCATCTAAGTACCCTTCGATGTTTATTGCTGTAATCTATAAATAAACTATAAACTTAAACAGCCAGTGCTGCAGAGTTATTATCACCAGGATTTTGCCTCTCAGGCTGCATGCGTGCTGCTTTTCTCTGCATAATTTCTAGAAAAAATTAATTTAGTTAATATTTCTATTTACAGTTAATATTCTCTGAAAAAGAATCAAGAATCGGTGGTTAGGATGCAAGTACAGCCTTGTCTATAATAAAGTATCAGGTCTCAAGAAAACTGCACATGATTGTAAGATAGTTCAACACAGAGGTTTATGTAGCATTTCTATTTTTGTTTTGTTTGTTTTACTAACATTATAGGTGCATCTCATAAAATTTGAATATCGTGAAAACTAAATATCATTTTTCTGCAATTTAAGTCAAAAAGTGAAACTTTCATGTATTCTAGATTTATTACATATAAAGTGAAATGTTTCAGTTTGTTTTAATCTTGATGATTACAGCTTACAACTCATGGAAATCAAAAATGCCTATCTCAAAATATTAGAATATTAGAAAATAATCATTTATAATGTGGAAATCTCGACCTTCTGAAAAATTTAAGAGTTCTGAAAAAGGTTAATTAATGCATTCAGAACTTGGGTGGAGATCATTTTGCAAAAATCACTGCATCAGGCCTGTGTGGCCCTGCTGAGTAGTTATGGAATTTCCCAGGTTGCTTTGATAGTGGCCTTCAGCTTGTCTGTTTTGTTGGTCTGGTGTCTCTCACTTTCCTCTTTACAATACACAGATTATCTATGGAGTTCAGGTCAGGCGATTTGGATGGCCAACTAAGCATAGTAACATCGTGGTCAGCAAACCAGTTACTCGTGCTTTTGACCCTGTGGGCAGGTGCCAAGTCCTGCTGGAAAAGGAAACCAGCATCTCCATAAAGCTTGTCAGCAGATTGAAGCATGAAGTGCTCAAAAATCTCCTGGTAGACGCTGCATTGATTCAGGACTGGAGACAACAAAGTGGACCAACATGGCCCCCCAAAACATCACAGACTGTGGAAACTTCACACTGAACTTCTAACAACGGTCCAGTTCATTTTCTCCTTTGCCCCTAGTGCAACGCTGGTAGCTCATTTCCTGGACATGTTGATGCTGCTACTCTACTTTTATTTATTTATTTTTTTACAGTATACAGATTTTCTGAGATGGACCTGTATATGTTCTTGTTCATGTATCATCATGGATAAGACACGTGCCTTTGTCTTAGAGGCCCGGGTTCAAGTCCCCACTGTGACACATCCACCAATGTGTCCCTGAGCAAGACACTTAACACCTAGTTCCTCCAGAGGTGTGCGACCTCTGACATACTATATAGCAATTGTAAGTCACTTTGGATAAAAGCATCAGCTAAATGAGTAAACATAATATCACTTACTACTGTACTTGACATACTTAACATTTATATATCCATGTAATCACAGCACTCCTGCAAAAAACAAGGTCCTCTGTATTAAAAAGGTGTTATTCAGTCAGTCATTATTTACCTCTAACTCTGGCCGACTAACCATGTAAAGGTATCCTCTAGATACTTTCAGTTTTATTTCAAGTAAGCTGAAAAAGTAAACAATACTTTTTATATACTATACTTTCATTATCCTCCACCACAGGAGTTTTTTTAATTACACCTCAATACAAGTTTGATGCAATAAAAGTCATTAATTTCACCCTTTCAAGCAGGAAGTAGGCTACAGATGTATTTTCCACAAATAGATGTCTGTTAAATATCAATAAAGTTAGCCTATTTATTAGGTGTATGTGTTTTTTAGCCTATGTACAAATTACCACAGATCATAACATGCAGGGAAAGATTGCCTGTACATTCTACAGTTTCCCTTTAGGTTTCCAAGAACCAACAAAGTGCTCTTAACCATTCGTAGCAAAGACGATTGATTTTAAAGATAATAATTACATGATGATGATGATGATTCTAAGAAATTACTAAAACAATGGACTGTGGAACGGTTTCCTTTCTATACCAAGCCCATTATGCAACAACAGTGTAAATCTCTGCAGGGATTACCTATATAACATTACTATAATCCCAAATAATAAAAAATATAACAGTGTCACTTTAAACTGTCAATAGAGGATCACAACTCCATTATTATTATATTATATTATATTATATATATATTATATTGCACGTTATTAATGATGCTGCAGTCAATATTTATGCCATTTAAGTTTAAATCTTCAAAAAACATAGGTGGATAACAATGTTATTCATCAAATGACAGATGAGAAAAAGGTCCCAATAAAGTGGAGTAAGGCTCTTTATTTAAAATATTAAATTCTAAAAACTAAAGTCTTCAGCTGTAGCCTATCTGAATTTATAAGAAGACTACTGGTGATAATAGGTTTTTTTTCGCTGCGTACATATTTCGTCGATGTTTGCAGGAGAATTGAAAATAGAAAAAGAAAGCTCAGACTTACAGGCCTGTAGCCTACATATTCAAGGTTGTAATGCAGGAAAATAATCTCCAAGAGTTGACGTTAAGCTATAAAACTAAATCAACCATTTCTAGCCGAGACACTGACACTGAAAACAGTTTTATCTAGTTGTATTATATTTTTATAAGCATAGGTTACATTATAGAAACCTAGCATTATAGTAGCCTTTAGTAGGCTTTTATACAGACCTGTCAAGTCCTGCTTTATGTCGAAGACGTTTTTATTGTTAAACCAGCGCATGGTCAAGCATTAAATAGTTACCGACGTGCAACAGCCTGCTGTAAACATAAAGAGCGCCATTGTTTGACCAAGCTATCACTTCGCAACCAAAACTTATCACTACGACTGAAGCAAAATCCTCTGATATCGCGAAATATTTGATCAACGTTTACAAAATGTACATTAAGTTAAAGAGTTACAGGCTCATATGCTGAGAGAAAGAGAGAAAGTCCCCTTACCTGCGCGGCTCAGGTAGAAAATACTCCTTTTGTTCCGGTGTATCACCTCCACTCTGCTTTACCTGCTTTCACTTTCTTTTAAGGTAAACTCCGTTTGTCAAGTTCTGTGTCTTTAAAAAGCAAGCGGTAATTTCTTTATTTTCTTTTAAGCAAGGCTTCTCCAGGCACAAGGGTACATCAAAGATCACCTTCCTGCCTCTGTTGATTAACTGAAATTAGAGGAGGATGAGTTAATGATTAGACAGCTTTAAACTGAAGGAGCGTCGATCCCAGAGAGACTTTAAACTATTCTTATCGAGCTGTTTTCATTTCGGGATTTGTGAAAATGTTGCTAGTTTTTATGCTACTATTTTTTTTAACAAACCCTGATCAGTTTACAGGTAGATTATTTTCTTTCCTGGAATGTGGCGTTCAATTGCCCCCCGTTAAGTCTTCTCTCAAGGTCATTCGAAAATGAATAGGTGGAATTATAGTGGTGAAAGAAGTACTCAGATCATTTAAGTAAAAGTACCAGTACAACAATGTAAAAAAAAAAACTCCATAATAAGTAAAAGTGAATTAGTATTATCAGCAAATTAAGTATTAAAGGTAGGCTACTCATTCTGCAGAATACATTACTGTATATTATTATATTGTCAGTGTTGGAAAGTACATTTACTCAGTTATTTGTACCTTTGTACAATTTCAAGGTACTAATATTTCCAGTTTATGCTTTTTTAGTTTTTTACATTTTTACTCAATTACATTTATCCCTACTTGGAAATACTATCTTACTAGTAACATAACAGATTTAGATGTTACATAAAAACCATGATAATCTTATAAAATATAATATATTAATAAACCTTTTTGGCTTGTGGCCTCTTTACAAAGAAGCAGAAGGACCCCATGCCAATGTTTCATATATCTGAGTTGTTAGCAGCTTCATTAAACTTTAAACTTCTCCCCTGTTCATTTAAATAACAGTTTGAGTATAGTTTGTATAATCTGATCAGTTCTTTATAAAGCTGAAAAATAGTATCTGTCAAATACATGTAGTGGAGAAGAAGTATAAAGTAGCATTAAATGGAAATACTCAAGTAAAGTTTTGCTAACAATGTTGGAAAGGTGAATCATCAAAAAATCAGAAATTAAACAGAAAACAGATTTCATTCAACTTGATAAAATATTTAAATACAATGAATCTCAGAAGCTTGTGGAGAACAAAATGAACCTGGTCACAAAACCAAATTTCCACTGTTTGTTTTACCTAATCAGACTGGTTCTGGTCCCCAGCCTTGTGACCCCTTCAAACAAAGCAATGTTGTGACACTTCATGATTTTCAAATCTTTTGGCTTCATTAGTAGGATTTGTAGAGACCCAAAGAGCTGGAAGTATCCAGTATCCCTCATGAAAAAAAGCTCAAATGAAAAACATCAACTTTACTTTCTTATACCTTTAATTGCCACTGATCAGTTATATGAAGAGCTGCATATAAACCCAGTTGGTTAAGATGCCTCAATGTGCACCTGCAAACATGCAACGCCATTTCAGTCCACTAGAGATTGATATGTGGCATATTAGTTTCCGGTGAAAAACACATTATTCTTAGGCAGTGATGGAGGCTCTGTCCTCACCTTCCTGTTTTAATTGCAGTAAATAAAAGTTAAATTAACTTCCAAGTATGTGGATAGAAACATTAAGATTTTCAGCTGCTACCACGTCAGACATCTGCCAAAGCTCCACGGTCAACATAAATGCTACTGAGCTGCTATCACTGTCAGTGTCAGCTTAACACAAATCACCACATGCTGTTTTATTCATCCATCTATCCATCCTTCATGACCTTTCTTCCTCTTCTTCTTCCCCCTCTAAATCCAAACAAAAAGTCTTTAAAGACATTTAAAAGTCTTTCTTTTACATTTGCAGTACTATTTTTCACATGTGAAAAGAGAGTCATGCCAGCAGCTCTGGGAGGCTGTACTTTGTTACAGTGGTACTTTGAGCAAAATGCTAACATGCTTATGTTTAGCAGGTATAACGTTTGCCATGTTCACCATCTTAGCTTAGCCAGTTAGCATTCTAATATTAGCTAATGAGCACAAGACACACAGTTTAATTTCAGTAATCAAAGTGATTACAGTTCATCCTGAGGGGAAACATGAATGTGTGCTGCAGAGGAGTTTTGTCTGTTTCTTTTTGTGTTCTCCAGCCCTTCCTCACCAGAAAAACATAGTTAGGTCCTGTACGCCTGTCGCTGGACTGGTACTTTCTGACAGTCATATATGTCTACTTTCCAATGGACTTAAGCCTATGTCATTTTAGGGAATGGTCATATATGTTTTTTCAACCAACATATGTGTCATTTGGGGTAACGCTGAGCTATGTCTTGGTACTTTCCAACAGTTGGAAGTATTTGTAGTATCTTTATCATCTATTTCCTTCTTTTAATATTGATACAGTATGACTGGTTTTGCAAACCGCCCAGGGATTTCCACCGTGCTGCAGCACAAGTTCCGCCACACAATGGCTGCTATTGAGCACAGGCTTCAGATTAGTGTTGCATAATCAAAGGATAGATGTGTGTGTGAGAGAGAGAGAGAGTCCAGATGTCCATGAGCTTAACCATGTTGAGTGTTCAATTATAATGCAGTGCTATAAAATTCATATTGACGAAATGTTATGGAGATTATTCGATAATGTTTTGTGTTGAGTGAAGCAAAGGAAGCAGATTACCAACATGTTATCCCCAACCTCACTCAGATACTTTGGTTTACTTTCATCCAGACAGCAGGCTGAAAATGTACTCGTGTAATTTGTATTCATTCAGTTGATTTGCATTTTGTTTCCACGCAACCAACTTGATTATGATGATTGTAGCTAAATAAGATTTAAGTTTTAAATGTATTGTGTCTTGTGTTGTTATAAACTGAACTAAATTAAAGACACGGTGAAATGCAAAAATACATTTTTGAAGTTCTAATCCTGTGTCCCTATGTAAAAAAAAAAAAAAAAAAAAAAAAAAAAAAGGGGGGGGGGTATTTTTCCCTTCATCCCTCACTTTCATTTTCCTGTAAAATGCAGAAATATTTTGTTGACATACTTTGAACTTGTGGTTACATAATATTTATCCAATCAAATGTGGTTTGGGGTGACTAGCTAACCTTTTCTAAATGTAATTTTATCAGGGACCATGCACAAAATGCATTAATCTCAAAAAGAGAAGAGACGCTTTGTAGCAAATTAAGCTTCCAGCTAATTTCCATCTGCAATCCCTGGGCAGGTGAAAGGAAACAATAAAACAAAACCTACCATCTCCACTACTGATTGACCAACACCCTATTGATACCCACAAAAGACATTGGAATAAGCACAAAACAGAATACAAATATCAAAATATTACATACATATATCCATAATTATATTAGCTGGGTGTGCTATTGTCAAATTAATGTTTGACAAGAGTGGTTGTGGGCCGCCCGGGCATAGGCGACATAGGCGGTCGCCTAGAGCGCAAAATGTCGGGGGGCGCCGCA